ATGTTCTTATCAGGGGAAGGCTTCGGCCTCCATGCCCTGTTGCTGGCCCTCCAGAGGAACTGGCTGACCACCGTGTGAGACAGGAGGCTGGACTAGAGGGACCCTCCCTGATCTGACCCAGCAGGGCTCTTCTGATGTTCTTATAAGGGGAAGGCCTCAGCCTCTCTGCCCTGTTCTTGGCCTTCCAGAGGAACTGGTTGGCCACTGTGTGAGACAGGAGGCTGGACAAGATGGACCCTCCCTGGTCTGACCCAGCAGGGCTCTTCTGGTGTCCTTCTCAGGGGAAGGCCTCGGCCTCTCTGCCCTGTTGTTGACCCTCCAGGTGGGGCCTGGAGATCTCCCACTTTTACAAATGATCCCCAGCTGACAGAGATCAGCTCCCCTGCAGAAAAGGGCTGCTTTGAAGGGTGGACTCCGTGGCATGGCACCATGCTGAGGCCCCTTCCCTCCCCAAACCCCACCCTCTCCCGGATCCACCCCCAAAGTCTCCAGGTATTTTCCCGCCTAGACCCGTCAACCCTGTGCGACCCGAGAGGTGGGCGTCCTGAATCCTTCACAAAGGATACCAAGAGGAACTCTTGGATCACGAATGCGGTGTGTGAACGGCAACCCACAGCTCTGGGGCTTCAGGGGCAGCTTGTGGGTTGCGGCTACTTTCTTGGCGCCCATGCAGAATTCTGTTGCACGCTGGCCGGAGCTGTTTGAGAGGTCTGGTTGCTGCCCCTGCAGAATCTCTGAGTTCCTCAAAGCTACAGCGCTGGAGAATCACGGCTCAAGAATTCTGTTGCACGCTGGCTGGAGCTGTTTGAGAGGTCTGGTTGCTGCCCCTGCAGAATCTCTGAGTTCCTCAAAGCTACAGCGCTGGAGAATCACGGCTCATACTATGTATTATTTAATATTAATATTTTAATGTTTTATGGATGTACTATATCGGCAGTGTGCCTTGTAAGCCGCCCTGAGCCTACGGGGAGGGCGGGATAAAAATCGAAGCAATAAATAAATAAATAAATAACATCCAGAGAACAAAAGAAAAAAAGGACTGCCTATAGAGGAAGAAGTGGTGATTGGATTGATACCCCGCCCTTCACTACCCAAAGGTGTCTCAGAGCGGCTTACAAATTCCTCTCCCTTTCCGTCCCCCTCCCCACAACAGACACCCTGCGAGGGAGGTGGGGCTGAGAGAGCTCTTGACAGAAACGTCTCTTTTTCAAGGACAGCTCTGACATATGGCTTGCCCAAGGTCATCCAGCAGGTGCATGTGGAGGAGTGCTTTCCCCAGATTAGAGTCCGCACACTTAACCACTACACCAAACTAGCTCTCAGAAGAGATTGGATTTATGCCCTGCCCTTCACTACCCGAAGGGAGTCTCAGAGTGGCTTACAAACTCCTTTCCCTTCCCCTCCCCACAACAGACACCCTGTGAGATAGGTGGGGCTGAGAGAGCTCTTTCAAGAACTACCCTTTCAAGGACAGCTCTGACAGAACTATGGCTTGCCCGAGGTCATCCAGCAGCTGTGAGTGGAGGAGTGGGGAATCAAACCTGGTTCTCCCAGATTAGAGTCCGTGCACTCAACCACTACACCAAACTGGCTCTCCTTTCCTTACAAACTCCTTTCCCTCCCCCTCCCCACAACAGACACCCTGGGAGGTAGGTGGGGCTGAGAGAGCTCTGAGAGAAATGGCTCTTTTTCAAGAACAGCTCTGAGAGAACTATGGCTTGCCCAAGGTCATCCAGCAGGTGCAAGTGGAGGAGTGGGGAATCAAACCCAGTTCTCCAGGATTAGAGTCCACGCGCTTAACCACTACACCAAACTGGCTCTTCTTGCTATATTGCTATATTGCTATATCTTCTTGCTATATTGCTATTCTTATTCAACAATGGACGGAAACTGGGAGACAACTGATATGCAGGGTCCAGTTTAGAGGAAGACCTTTGAAACGACTGGATAATCTGGAAAATTTCGTCAACTCAGTCTTTTGGACCCCTCTT